GACCTGTCTTTCTCTAGACACGGAAATTAATTTCCCCCTCACACTGGTCTATCACACCGGGAAACCCACTCCTTCCACTTCCCCCCGAACTGCTTTAGCACGCTCAAGCGCACTCGGCAGTTGAGTAAGGTCATGCTGGTGAAAAGTGCGAACATACGGGGTTAAAGCTTTGCGGGGGAGCTTAAGGGAAGCAAGCATGGACAGGCCCTCGTTGATGTACAAGCGCGCCGTGCGCGCCGCGGCCCACCTGCCCAAGACAATGATTCGATCTAACGAACCATGACGGCCAAACCAACAAGTAGCCCCCCCCCCGCCGTAAACTGTACGGGCGGAATTCGAATTCCTCCAAGTGCAGTGCCTTAATGCACTCAGAAAACTTCTTACGCCACTGGTGCGGTGTGGGGGTGAGTGGGCAGCGTGAGGAGGAAGCTTGCTTCCAGGCCCATAGCCATTGGAGAGCCACGGTGACTGAAACTGTAACACTTTCAGCTGCGCCAGCCCGTTTACCGGACTTAGTCAGACCTAATGAGATTACTGCCGGCTTATCGGGAGATGTCATGAGAATGTGATGGTTACACAAACCCAAGATCTCCCCCGTTCGCAACAATCCATAAAAGCCCAACAACAAGCTGAGGCCGAAGGAGTACTCTTTGTTAAACAAGCACCAACCAAGCATTGCAAACAGGCACTCTTCAGGGAGAGGCGGTGCTCGGCTTGGAATCTCATTGACGTGCCACGTCTTCAAGAGTCTCCAGGTCACTTGCAGTTGCCCTTTCAACCGTGGCTCCGTGTCCTGGAACCCAGCAACTGTATCGCTGGCTAGGGCGCGTCCTTCTCCATTGCTCCACAAGTGCTCAACATAGTCGGCAAGCATGTCATCAAATGCAGCGAACTTAGTGGGAATGCGCAACCCGTTGGACAAAGCGTAGTCGTAGAACTTTTGTTTGGCTTGGCTGTATCTTTTGCGAGTTTGTGGTTGGACAGTGAGCTCACGCAACGTGCCTAAAGCTTGTCTATTCTTGGCTCTCTCTTCTTTACTGCGGCCCTCCAGATGTTGCTTCACTTTCCCCATTTGCGACCAAGGGGCCGCCGGCTGGGCCGGTCGGCGGGGTTCTGTGCTGTATGAACATATCCCCAAATGGGGTGGAGATCTGCTGCAAGAATGAGAGAGTTTACCCTTGTCAAGACATGCCTCAATTTCCGTGACGAGCTCCGTCCACGCGACAAGCTATGCAAGCACACCAAGCTGTCGGTCAAGTGCAGGAAACGCTTGCTATAGCCACCTCTACGAACAACCAGCCAGCGAAGAGTCGTCAAAATGGCCCTCAACTCCAACACATTGATGTGTTCGCCTGTGTGGCGCCACTGCCATCCTGTCACCTCCTTCCAACGCCACAACTTGGATGGCACGCTCGACCGAAGCCGGTGAAATTTCACCTGAGGTTCACTGGCTGCTGTGATCATCAGGTCCTCACCTTTCATCGACACCAAGCCCAACAACTTCATCAACAACGGCTTCTCCAAGGTTGCTACAAGTGCCTTATTCGACAAGAGGGGCGGACGCAACAAGATCCCTTGCAATGAAGTGCTTTTCCCAGGAGTAAGGTAGTTGACGATCTCTTGCAACCCTCGCTCTCGGCAGAAACCTAGGGGCGCGAGCAACTGCTCCAACAACCATGTGACGACTCCTACATGCCAGGAGTTGCCTACCAGGGTCAAGCGTGTGTCATCCCATTCCGTAGTGCCCTGCTGCGCCTTCGGGAGACAGGGGCGTGTATACCCCACCGGTATGCCCATTATTGCCTCCCTTTCCTGCGCCGAAGGACGCCGTGAGGCCCCTTTGCGAGTCCATAGCATGTTGTGGTCCCGGTATTGGTATGGTGGGAAGCGGTACCGGTCATCCTGCCACCTCTGCTTCTCATGGGCTGCACAACGGTCCAACCCGGCTGGACGGTACCCAGGTTGGTCACGAGGTCGAGATGTGGTGAAAGTCGGCAGCCGGAACCCCTCCGTGACAAACCAACCCTGCTCGAGGAACGCCGCCTCCTCAATCTGTGCCTCAAGGATCACCTGTCCACAGCCGGCTGAGTCAGTCCCATCTTGGCCGGGAGGGGTGATAACAACTCCCTCCCCCTGCTTCAAGTCCCAATCAACCCAATAGAGTCGCGGGCGATGACATAGGCTGATTCCCCCAGAGTCTATCTTATAGGGTAGGACGCCGACAGCCTCGCTCATGAGAACACGATCGGCCTCTGTCATCGAGGCGACTGATTCCATCAGGAGGTGCACCTGAGCCCAAGGGAACGCCACCTTGAAGAGATCTCGGATGCGGGGAACTTCCTGGTAGAGGCAGCTCCGGGCATCCCGCAATGCCCCCTTCTTGGAGGCGTTGAGGCCGCTCACGCCCTGACAAGGCGGTCCGGCGCCAATGAGGATCATAGCTACCGAGGGGAACCGCATTGCCAAGCTTCCTACCAGTTGTGCATCCACACTCTTCACATCGTCGTGGAACGTAGTGTCCGGGAAGAAAGCCTCCACAACACGCCTCCCCGTGCCTTCCTTTTCAACGCTCAAATGTCCTGCCACCCCAACTCCCAAGCTATCAACCGCCAAGCGCAACGCTCCCAGCCCATCAAACAATCCCACCGTGAGGATCTGGAGTGCGTCTCCCTCTTGCGGGAGATCACCCCTACACTCCGCATTCAAAGCCGCCATGCCATAGCCCGTGAGGCCTTCACTCACGCAGATTCCTCCACCTGTGGTTGAAGCATCACTGCACGTCACGTGCTCCATGAAGGGGCATCGAAAGTCGATCTGGGCCAAGGGTGTCAACAGGATGAACATAAGCAACTCCCTCGCTACCTCGGGAGGCACTGGAAGGCGAACCACGGGCGGCAGCCGCTTCATCTTTTCCATAAACCTCCACACCTCATTCAAGACCGACAACAGCGGGCGCCTGAACATGGCGAAGTAAACGAAGCCTCCGCAAACCACCTGATCATTGTTTTTTTTTGTTGCTTGGGGCCTATACACTAAAACAGGACCTTCGCCAATGCTTTCGCAAGCTTTCGCGGCTGCAGAGGGTGCCTACGCGATGCACATGCCTATCAAAGGTGCTTACGCGAGCGCTTTCGCGGTGCATCGGACAGACTTTTTCAGACAGAAGACATCATTAATGCGATGAAGTTGTAGAGGCAGATGAAGATGAAGTGGAAGAGGACGAATCAGCGGAGGCAGCTTGCAATGCAGCAGTTTGACGGCGGTGCTTTGCAGCTTGCTTTTGTAGGCGAGCAGCAGCTTGGGACAACAAGGCTTCTTCTCCACGAAGATCTGGGAGATCTTGTGGCTGGAAACTCTTCTGGGCCAGGTGGCGTCGGACCAATTCATTGACATCTCCAGGGTGAGGTCCATCATTCTCCCAAGTCTTGTCACCGCCCCAATACCCTCTGCGCCAAGCCTTGCTGATTTGAACTTGTTTGTCATCAAAGTCTCTGGAAGTTCGTTCATCTATGTTCCAATGCAGGAGTCGATGTCCA